TGTTTCAATGTAATAAATATGTATTATTCCCAATTACTTATTGATCTGTGTAACTGAAATATATGTTGGCTCATATTTTATATGTTACTGAAATTTTTATGTCAAATTAACATTTTGTTCTCGGACCAGTTAGGCTTTTAGGATGTATGAGATGCATTTAAAAACGTAACATTTTGTTTTATATCAGGTTGTCTCTGTTTTATGATGTAGATTAATATCACAAAACATTACTCACAGTAATAAATGATACCATATAATATGTGGTGCTGGGAAAGTTTGAAAACTCCCCTCTAAGTGCTTAAAAAGTGCTAAAATTTTACTATGGGAAAAGTGTACGAACCCTGATTTAACCTCTGATATGTGAATGTTGATGCTGAATGTTGACGTTTTCCTCAGCGGCGGGAGCTGCGTACGCGCTGAAGAGGGAGAACATGAACCGCGCGGTGATCTGTTACTTCGGGGAGGGAGCGGCCAGCGAAGGGGACGCACACGCCGGCTTCAACTTCTCAGCGACCCTCGAGTGTCCGCTGATCTTCTTCTGTCGCAACAACGGCTACGCGATCTCCACCCCGACCAACGAGCAGTACAGAGGCGACGGCATCGGTGAGACGATTTAAAGATGCAAATAGGTTATCAGTTACGGAATAAACAAAGTTGGGTAGTAACTAGTTATATTTACTTGAGTAACTTTGTGGAAAAATGTGCTTTGAGTAATTTTATTACAAAGTATCTCTGCTCTTGAGTAAAATTTCTGAATTTTCAACCACTGAATTAAAAACATATTTTAACCAAAGATTCACCAGACACAGATCTGCAGTTTTATTTTGAGACAGACTGATTTGGAAAATTATTTTTGCCTGATTTTGTTATTTTTGCTTTGCTTATATGAATTATTTTCATTTTGATCCTTAAAATATAAAAATTTCCACATAACTTTATATTTTGGACCGTCTGATTATTTAATTTTTAAATATTAAATGATTGATATTTGAGTAGACATTTTACCAGATACTTTTTTACTCTTGAGTAATTTCTTGGACGGCTACTTTTTACTTTTACTTGAGTAAAAATATGTTGAAGTAGTGCTACTCCTACTTGCGTACTCTGAATACCTCTGGTCATTGATTAATCTATTGCTTATTCTGACAATTACTCATTTATGAACATTTATTTAAGCCTTCTTACTGCTCTGAATGTGGTGTTCTTTCAGCAAAAGACCTTTTTTTAGTCTCTATAACCAGTTAACGATTACTAATCATGATTAATTTGATTAATCGTTTCAGCCCTGTATCATTTCTTCTTTTAATTCTCTCCAGCTGCTCGAGGGCCTGGTTATGGCATGCTGTCCATCCGTGTCGATGGGAACGACGTGTTCGCCGTCTACAACGCCACGAAGGAAGCGCGGCGCAGGGCTGTGGCTGAAAACCAGCCTTTCCTTATCGAGGCGATGACTTACAGGTTCGCAGTTTGATCTTTTTTCCACACACTCCATCCTCATTTCCAAACCAAAACATCTGTTGGTGTTTTGGTTTGGAAATGAGGGGAAGAATTTAAAAAAATGTGTGTGCAGCAAATTAAAGTCACAGTAGTTATTTCGTCAAGCACAATATTGTCAGTAAAACCCATATTTAACCTGTTTAATGAAGTTGGGATTTCACCTGTCCAAAGGTCATTTTACATCTAAATGTGTTCCTGACAACCAGAAGCATACAATGCTGTTGGATTTGATTAACAAATTCTTGTGAAGGAGAAATCTCCACAAGTTGTTTGAAGGAAATACTTTCACTCTCAAATGTTTCAGGTGTTCCCACTGAGACCGGAATCGGATTACTACCAAAGCTCTTTAGATTAAGCCGACAAAGCCTCCGCAGTGTGAATGGAGTAAAATGTCTCTAAGCTTCTTTCTCATAAAAATATAATCCCTCACAATATGGCAATATTTTCATTGCACTAATTCTGGCCCAAACAGTGTAATTTACCAGCAGATTTGAAAAAAAAAAATAAAAAGTTGCTTTTCTTTATTGTAAGACATTAGATCAGATAACACTTAGCAGTTGTTATTGCTCATCTGTTCTTCCATTTAACTGAACTGCTAATAAAGGCTAATAAAGGATTATTATGTTTTAACACAAGTTAAACAGGTCTAAATATAAATCTGGTCTTTTGAAAAAATAAGTGAAATAAAAGCAATTTAATTCAGCAGCAACCTTTTAAGATTTTGTCTCCAGTAGTTTTGGACCATATTGTCTGTGTTGTTCAGCTGGGGTCTGACTGATTTCTGAATTCTCCTTAAATCACCACAAATCCAACGTGGTGCATGTATACCACAAATGACTATTGATGCAAATTGAACACATACCAATAACCATACCAGAAGCTTGAAGTAGAGACATATCTTAGGGGGCACTCACACCAATCCTGTTTATTCCACATTAATCTACCTCTAGGTTGTTTGTCTAGAAAGTCTGGTTCGTTTGTGGAGGTGTGAATGCACAATCAAACTCGGATGTGAACCAAAAAAGCGAGCTATGGTCCGCCAAAAATCCTCAGTCTGTGTTTGGTTGAAGTGAACCCTGGTGCAGTTCAAAAGCATATATGAACCAAAATTGGGCCGGAGTACTGCTCCAAGAGCAGGAAGTTGACTACAGTGCATGGCATTCTGGGTAAACGTATCTCTCTCTCTGTGTCGGCTACGCTACACACCATCTCGTTACCATAACGACTGACTGACAACAGCTCCACTAGTGTAACAGGATTCAACATCACAAAACATGCCAACATTTCCCACACAAAGAACAAATCGTTCAGTCCGTTACAATTTTATGTTTTATAGCTTGATGTTTATTTTGCGATTATTAATAAGTGATCACTGTGGTAGATTAGCTACCGCTGCTATTAGCTAAGCTAACACAGCTGTGGCTTATTAGCTAATTTAAACTTTTAAATTGCTCTATTGATGATCTGTTAGAAAGCTGTTGTGGGGGTTGCCTTTTTTTTTTTTTACTGAACTGAAACACACCGAATTCTGCAGCATATCTACATTTTACATTTGTCATAGTTAAGCTAGTATGAGTGACCTACCCTCGCTATATTTTTTTCTTAACTTTCTCCTGACCTTGGGATCTAGTTGCTGTAGTATTAACAATTAGCAGCAAAGCACTGCGTCCCTTTTTATTTTATATATCAGGCGTACATTTAACATTTAGTGCGTTATGTTAACAACTTGACAGCTAGAACCAATGGTAGCCATTGTTGGATAACAGCTTTTTGCCCTCCAGCTCCTTGCTGGAGAGCGCGTCTATATTTAAATTTGAATACCACCTTTTTCCTTGGGGGTAGCCCAAGAGTTAGTTTATTCAAATTCTATATTTAAAGGCTAAGAAAGGCTCACAGTCCAGTTGGATTTGAATAGTTGTTTATTTAAAGGAACTACTTTCCTTCTCAAATGTTTTTAAATATGAAAAGCCTGATGGATATTTCTGGTCCTTCCACAGAATCGGGCACCACAGCACCAGTGACGACAGCTCGGCCTACCGCTCAGTGGACGAGGTGAATTACTGGGACAAGCAGGACCACCCCATCTCCCGACTGAGGCACTACATGACGGCGCGCGGCTGGTGGAGTGAGGACGACGAGCGCAGCTGGAGGAAACAGTCACGCAAGACTGTGATGGAGGCGTTTGAGAGGGCGGAGAGGCGCCTGAAGCCCAACCCAGAGCTGCTGTTCACCGACGTCTACCAGGAGATGGTCCCCAGGCTGGCCAAGCAGAGGGAGTCCCTGTTCAGGCACATCCAGCAGTACAAAGAGCACTACCCCCTCGACCTGTACGAGAAATAACCGCCACATGCAGTAGTGTGTGAGGACTGGAAGTAGCTGCACACCACATGCCGTGTTCGTGTTTTGATGTGTCATTGCACATTCTGCACATATGCTTTCAAAACAAATTATTTCTAATGGTTTTTGGTGCCTTGTGGTAGAAAAAAAGCCACATTTTACATAAATGAAATAGTTTCTTTTAGGGCTGGGCGATAAATCTTATTTTTTTTGTTTTAGAAGATTTAATTTTTTCTTCCACCAATGCACATGTTGCATTTCTGTAGTTCAGTGTGATGTCATCGCGCCCATCTTGTTGTACAACTTCAATTTGAATTCATGTCAGCTCTACAACAAAATGTCAGGGCCGGGCTACCATTTTCTTTTTTTTAATTACAAGAATTACTAGAATTTAATACAGCAAAATGTGAGAATAAGGACATAATATTGCCAGAATTAAGTTGTAAGATTAGGAAAATGAAGAAGTAATTTTATGAGAAATCCAACACAAAAAATAAGTTTAAAATGGGGAATGTTGAGCATCTTGTGAAGTTAGTTAACTCTTGCAGTTAAAACAACTTTTCTTCTTTTAATTTTAAAATGTTCTTCATGTAAAATTGCATCTTTATTTTGCTGATAATATGAATATATTCTTGTAATTAAATAAAATTTGTGTAGCCTGGCTTTAGATACTCAGTCATACAACTCACAGAAGAGATAGTTGAACCAAAAGCTAATTTCAAAAATATTTTCTGACATTTGTAATTTCTTTTTTTTTTTTTAGAAAAGAAAGAATGAGAAAATAGATTAAAATCACACGTAGCATGAAAAAATTTGAGATTTTGTTTTGAATCCATATCGCTCAGCCCTACTTTTTCTTTTGAATCCAGATTAAATAGATTAATTAAATAGGAAAGCAGGATGTATTATGGAGATTTGACCTCTATTTGTCAATGTATCTTTCCCTTTCAACAGCTGATAAGCAGGTTTCTAGTGTGTCATTGGAGTTATCCGTTAGTGTTTGTTGAGATGCTGTTACACAATGTCATTTTTCCCAGAGCTGTAGATCTGTTAAAATAAACTGTAGAACATTGGTTGTCTTCAAGTATTCACTTAAAAATCAATATGATATTAAAGGAAAGGGTTGATGAGATGTAATTCTATATCCATTTGTTCATCTTTATCTACTTGAATTTATATAAATTTGCCTTTTTCTTTGTAAGTCCAGGGTGAGCCAGTGTAGTGCTGTGCTTCGCCTATGGTGGCGCTGTTTTACATAAGCATGAAGCAGGCAATTGGCGCATGCCCATTGTGGTCTCTTTATTGACCCTTTGCACGTGACGTCACTCTTCGAAACTCGGCCCGCTCCGCCATGACGGACGTCAAAACAACCATAGAAAACAACCGATGCGCTCTTGTTAAACTTGTAAAAAAACGCACATGTGCTAGCCTAATATAGCTTTTATTAAGTTTATTTCGCAGTAAAAATGGTCATAGGGTGCTGCAAGACAAGGGTGAAAACCAAACTTATTTTATTGTGTAACTTTTAATGAGGAAAGATATGTTTCCAGCAGGTCATGCTGGGAAAACCAGCATGACCTGCATCCCTCGGTGTAAACCCTGATTTGCAGCGAACACTTTTTACAAGGTAAGAAGACTAACGTTCATATGCTTTATAAGTATGATTAGAAAGATATCAAATATCTCATTATGGAGAAGATTGGTGGAAAGTTAGGTCATGTAGCCTAGCATGTATGGAAAAAACTGTTAGCATCTCGTCTTTTGTTAGTTTTTAATGCTGCTCGGTTTAAGGGGAAACCCCGTTTATGACACAGTGATAACAATCATGTGGTGTGAATTCAGGCAAAGGCGGGAATTTGAGGTAGGAGGTCCTGGTCGGTTTCTAAGCTAGCTACTTCAAGTTTTTGTAAATACCGCCGTATATGAGCCCAACCAGGTGTGTTATGTTCACAGACAAATTAGCTCGTCTCGAATGAGTAGAAGCCATGAATAAACTGACAAAAACAACTTGGAAAACCATTTCAATTGCTTTGTTCAATACTCCCGATCCTCACTTCTGACGTCCATCATGTCGCTTTAAATGTTTAAGTGACATTAGTTGCAAACGGTGAATGTTGCTAATATTTTTAATTAACCATGTTGACGTTCAACACAACTTCTACTATATTTAATAAATGAGAATGACAGTCTTTCTGACTGGCCGAAAATGAAAATGTGCAAGTTGAGGTGAAAGTATCGTGCCTCACTGATGGAGGGCGCTGTTGAGTCCAAAGGGTCAAATTGTGCTCTTCTTCCAAGTCATCAAAATTATGAGGAAGAAAGACAACAATTGACCCAAAATTTAAATAGAATTAAAGTTAAAAGAGATTTAGTTAATTTATTTAGAGATAACTCAAAAAGTAAAATTTATCTGGTAATGTTTTATTATCTTAAACAGTAGTATAACAAAATTTAATTCTTAAGTGACATTCTGGTCCACACTTCAGACCAGTCAGTGGCAGTAATGCACCAATTTTGTTGTTTGCCAACCACCAAAAAGAAGAAGAAATATGCAGTCAGAACTTGGAATAGAACCATTCAAGGCTACTCCTCTTCTTGATGATCATCCCCATTGAAGCTGCATGATTTTTAAAATGAAAGAAGACAACATTTTAAAAACTCATATTAAATGCTTTATTTTTCTTGCCATAATGTTGTTGAACTGTAATTAATCAAAGCATGACTGAAATATTAAATTAGTTAAGGTCACAACTGAAATACAAGCATTACAATATTGGATGTTGGATTTGTACATCCAACTCTGGTGGCGTGCCAGTCATGAATCTCACCCAGTTAAAACAGTCACTGGAAAACATTCCCCCAAACCCATCTGTTGCAAGATGGTAAGAAAAGAAACTAATGCAAGTGACCCATCAGTTCAACAAGTCAACAGGGGGTTGTGGATGTTCTTCCACATCACCTCGATCTCCCTTGGCGATCGCTGGTGTATGAGGAGATTTTGCTTGTGGGCACAAACATTTCCACGGTCTTGTTTCTTGATGTCAAAGGTCTGAAATCCTTCATGCCACGTGGGGGTGATTCCTAGTGCCTTCATGCATAAACCCATGTAAACATCGTCTATGGGGAACAGAGGAAACAGCTTTGAAACAAAAGAAAGGGACTGCATCAACTCTCCGGAGATGACAAACCCTCCTCCACCTGTGTACGCAGGGTAGGGCCCGCTGTAGAAGGTCAGAGGAATGTAATATTTGCTTTTTGGGTCCCTAAGTGGACTTGCTGATTTCAAGACGTGTCCAACATACAGCTGAGATGCCTGAGAGGCGTCTAAAGACTCCAGGTATCGGATCAGTCCGTCAGTGTTGACAAAAACATCATCGTCCCCACTGAAGACGAAGGACACCCGTGGACAGTATTTCACTGTCCACTGGAGAAACATGTCCATTTTGAGGCTCAGGTTCAGGAGGGACTCATGGAAGTCCCACTGCAGAATGTCTCCAAAGTGTTTGGCTTCAAACGACAGCAGTGCGCTGAGGTTTGGGTCATCGGGCTGGTAGTTGCCGAGGAAGAACACCGAGCGCACCCTCCGTCCGTTCTTGTACACCCCGTCTCGACCCCACGTCTCCCGCACTGCCTGTCTCCTCTCGAAGTTTGCTGGGGACGACTTGATAGCAAAAAGCAGGAAGGTGTGGTTGTTGCACTTCATGGGCTGGTTGATTAGGATCGGCGGAGATCTGCAGTTCATGCCCTTCAGGTAAGTCTGAAACAGTGGAGGGTAGGAATCAAAGTCATGAACATTTATTCTCAGAACCTCCTGATTCTCCTCCTTGCAGGCGGACCAGGGGTGCTCTCTCCTGGAAGGGTTGTCGTTTTCCTCAGTGTTCGTCACTGCCGAGTAGAACAGGCGGTTCCAGTATGCAACGTCATGAGGGATGATCTTCCTCAAGTCTTCAGAAGGCACTGGGATGTGAGGGCTCAAAGGGGATGATGTGACGTTCACCTGCTTTGAGAAGTTTGCTACTCTGGTGGTATTGATCTTCTCTAGACTTACGGTCAAGTAGAAGAGGATCAGAAGTGAAACGGAGAGGACCATGGCTAAGAGTCTTTGATTAAACCTCATAAGGTCAGAACAAGGCACACAAAGCAGTGTGAGGAGTTTTTCTAGAGATGGATCATCTTTCAGCGGAGATGTTGGATCTCTTCAGAGATTACACTCCAAATGTTCCTGCAGAACAGAAAAATTATGCCTCAAACCAGGAGCCGAAATCTTAAGAGATTCTTAAAACGTATTAGCTACACATCACCACTTATTTCCAATGAACGCCTATTGACCAAAGGCTATTTTCATATTAACTATCTGATCAAAAACTTGATTTTCATCTGTAAAATGCAGGCCTATTTTTCTGAAGGGGGATGATTGTACAAAAAAATGACTGAAATCAATTGTAAATACAAGAATTTGTTGCATAAATTAGAGATATATTTTATATTTTCTCTAATCCAGACTGAATTAAAATGTGTATATAATCCTTCTATGGTTTAGTTGATTGACATTTTCAGGTTCGCTGAATATGCATCTAAGAAAAATTAGACTATTGTGAGAAACTTCCAGTTCTTTTTGTCCTTCATTTCATTTCAGAGTTAATTATTGATAACATACAACACCCGTCTAAATATAAATATTACATAAGAGCAATGAAAAAATTATATTTTAACTATATGTCCAGTTTTGACTAAAGTCCGAGAGGTTAAAGTCCTTGTCAAATGGCGTTTGACTAAAGTCAAAAGGGTTGGAGACAGCTTTTTATTTCTCTTTCTCACTGTTTGCATTTTAATGATGTTTTTTTTTTAAACTCTTTTTCACATGCTGTTTTTATTTTAATTATGTAAAGCACTTTGCTGCTGAAATGTGCTATACAAATAAAATTTGATTGATTAATTGATTGAAGATTCTGAATGACACCAAACTGAACAGGTAACAGAAAGTAAAGGCTTAAAAATGTAGATTTTTCTGAGTTTTAACCGTAAACATCTTTTTTCAGTTTAATGAGTTGAATCTGCTTTAGCTGCTGGTTGTTTATGGTGGTAAACAAGCTCTGTGGGGGATGCACAACCTGTTCTCAGGTGTCCAATTAGAGAAGGGGTGTCTAAAGTGGGTCCTGAGGGCCGGCATCCTGGATGTTTTAGTTCTCTCCCTGGTTTTACACACCTGCATCAAATGATGGCTCACTAGAAGGCCTAAGGAGAACATTGACTTGCTGAGGAGATTATTACTACCACTAGGGAGAGAACTAAAACATGCAGGTTGCCAGCCCTCGAGGAACGACTTTGGACACCCCTGAATTAGAGGATAAACCTGCTGAAAACTGAGTAACGGCAGAAGGAAATCCCGAAGCACCTGCCTGCTGCAGAAACACAGATCTGGCTTATTATGGCAGGAAAATGTAAAAACACAAAAAGCAGTTTTAGTTTCTGGCACAAATATGTTTATTACACTTGAAATAAGACAAAACTAACTTACATGTAGCTTTTCTGCAAGATATAGGAGCACGTTTTAAGTCAATAATTTTTTTATATTGATGAAAGTTATGCATGAAATAATCTGCCAATGGAACAAGTATATTTTCATCAAAAATAAGCACCTGTATTTCGCTGGAAAGTTACTTTTAAGTTAGTTTTGTCTTATTTCAAGTGTACTAATATATTCAGACTACAATCCAAACAAAAACTACTTGGAAAGATTTTGTGTTTTTGCAATTAGTTTATTCTAGGAAGATATTTAGTCTGATGCAGAACTTTTACATTTCAGCACAAAAAGCAGGAAGTAAAGCTACTTACAGGGGAAATGAAGAAAACGGGAGCAGGTTGAAATATTCTCCAATCTTTGAGTAGGAAGTATTTTTCCATAGTTTTTCCCAGCTTGTATTTTCAGTTCATCCACATCACAGAGTGGTGGATAATAAAATGAAGCCTGATGAGGCAGCGCAGGTCGCACACGGGGAGTAAACCACGCCCAGACAGGATGCAGGTCCACTCAGGTTTATTCAACAAGACGTCACAAACAACGCTTAAGACCAAAAGTTTCACAAGGTCATCAGGAGGAGACGTGAGCACAGTGTCCCGATCCATAAAGCTCTTTTTTTTTTATGTATTGCATCTCCATCAGGCCGTAAAACACATTTTAATCAGCCTGGTTACAAAAATACAAACCATTCTGCTAAACCAATAAACTCCCTTTCATTCCAAGCCATGCAAATGATCACAAAGGTCAAGGGTCGTTGAATGTTTTCAGGAATAAAATGACTTTAAATGGGAATAAATACACAAAGTCACCACTTATAAGGGCTGGGCGATAAAGTTTCCAAATCAAATGTGATTTT